TTTTTTTTTAGAAGAGTTTCAGAAGCATTGGAGTTAATTTTCCCTTAAATGATTGGTAATATTCACTTAGCAATCATCAAGTCTAGGGCTTTTCTTAGTTCCCTGTTTACCACTTCACTCTCTTTTCTTATAAGTCTACTGAGATTTTATTTTTTTTATTCCTTAATGAGTCAGTTTGGGTAGTATGTGTCTTTCTAGGAATTTGTTCACATTATAGGTTATCTAATTTGTTGGTAAATGGCCTGGCACAGTGCCTGATGCCTATAATCCTAGAACTCTGGGAGACTAAGGCAGGAGGATCTTCTTGAGGTCAGAAGTTCTATACCAGCCCGAGCAAGATATCCCATCTTTAAAAAATAGAAAAAAATAGTGGGGTGTTGTGTTAGGCACCTGTAGTCCTAGCTACTCAGGAGGCTAAGGCAAGAGGATCACTTGAGCCCTAGGGTGTGATGACATCACTGTACTGTCATTTAGGTAACAGAGCAATACCTCATCTACAAAAAAACAAAAAACAAAGCAAGATTTAAAAAGTATTGATCTAGCTATCTCATCCTACAGGGATGGAAACTGATTTTCAGATTAATGAACTTCTTACTCCAGCTGCTTTGGTTTAGAGATTGTTCATTTGTCCCTATCAACATTCATGTTAAAATTTGAATCCTAGTGAGGTTCAATGGCTTATACCTATAATCCCAGGTAATTCCAAGACCTAGGGAGGCTGAGGCAGGAGATTACTTGAGGCTAGGAGGCTGCAGTGAGCTATAATCATGCCATCTTGGGCTACAGAGCAGCACTCCATCTTTAAAAATACTTAAATTTTACAAAATATTAGAAAATTAACAGCAATTTGAGAGTTTATAGTAATTCTTAGCTTGACAAACTTACCTTTTTTGGCTCAGTGCCTGTAGCACAGTGGTTACAGCACCAGCCTCATGCATCAAGGGTGGCGAGTTCGAACCTGGCCCGGCCCAACTAAACAACAGTGATAACTGCAACAAAAAAATAGCCCGATGTTGTGGTGGGTGCCTGTAGCCCCAGCTACTAGGGAGGCTGAGGCAAGAGAATCGCTTAAGCCCAAGAGATGGAGGTTGCTGTGAGCCATGATGCCAGGGCACTCTACTGAGGG